GACCCCTATACTCCTTAAACCCTCAAAACTAAACCCTAATACAACATAGTTAACCCAAACATAAATGATATAATGATTTTTTTTTTGAAAAGTGGTATTTTTGCAAAGATTTTGAAAATGTGGCATTTTTGAAAAGTGACACTTGAAAAGTGGCATTTTTTGAAATTTTTTATATTTGTTTCTTAATTAAAATTTCTATTTCTTCTTTGTTTTTTATCTTTTTTTGTTGTTGTTTATAGTCTCTCTATTTTTTTTCCTAATTTTATTTTATAATTTGTTTAAACTATTTTATTGATTTTTACCAGCTATTTGGGATTATTAGAAATTTTCTTTTTTACTATTTGGTTAATTGTTTTGAGAAATATTTTTTTCGTTTTCTATTTTAAATTTTAGTTTTTCTTCACTAAGTTTAAGTATTAACACATTTCATCATGTGATCAATATTAAACACATGTTAAGATTTGGTGAATTATAATTTTTCTTAATTATCATACTCTCGTTGATAATACTTGATTTTTTCTCTTTACTTTTTTTGTGTGTTTACAGTCTTTCTATTTTCTTTCTTAATTGGATTTGATAATCAGTTTAAACTATTAGATTTCGTTTAATTTTTTTAGTGGGGACTATTAGAAATTTTCTTTCTTCATAATTAATTTGAACAATAAGAAAATTTTCTTCTTTACTATTTGGTTAGTTATTACAATTATTTTGTTCGTTTTCTATTTTTCTTTTTATATATATTTAATTAAGTTAAGTATTAACACATATCATCAACTAATCAATAGTAAATACATGTCACGATCTGGTGAGTTACCATTTTGCTTACGTGTCGCATTTTCATCATGCGCATCCTCCTTTATATAATAAGATTAGTTTAAACTACCTTTTAATATAGCTAACGTGGAGTATTAGAAAATTTTCTTTTCTTATCATTAGTTTGAACAATAAGAAAGTTTATTATTTTACTATTTGGTTAGAGACTTGAGAATTATTTTGTTTGTTTTCCATTTTTGTTTTCATATATTTTTAACCAATATTAAGTGTTAACACATGTTATCATCTAATTAGTATTAGACACATGTCACGATCTGGTGAATAAAAATTTTAGTAACGTGTCGCGTTCTCATTGCGTTTGTTACTTGCGT